TAAATATATTTTAAAAATAGAAGTATTGTATGCAAATACACAAACTGACGATTGTATGTACAGGTATAGTACTATATACAACGCTATGTGTGCAGCTGTTGTGCAAATTGACATGTAAAGTGTGTTGTTAGATAAGTGTTTAAGAAGTGTATAGCAAGTAGTGATGTTTGTTTCATAATTGTTATCATCAAGTGCTCATGAAAGGGATTGCCTGAGGGAAGAACCTGTTTTGTGTCAGGCTGTTCTGGTGCACAGTGCTCTGTAGCACTGGTTACCAGAAGGTAACAGTTCAAAGAGGCTGAGTGTAAGCGGTTCAGAGTGATTTTGGTAGCCCTTCTGCTTGCTCTGGATAAGTACAGCTCTTGAAGAGTAGGAAGGGTTGTACCATTGATTCGCGCAGCAGTTCGAACTATTCTGCGTAGTCTTCGAGGGTCAGATTTGATAGCTGAGCTAAATCAGACAGTTATTGATGTGCGGAGGACTGATTTAATGATGAATCAGTCTAGACCCACAGTTATTTATAATTATTAAAAGTAAATCCTAAAGCTATTTGACAAAAGTCTTGCCATCGGTCCCAGTTGTAAGAGCAACAATTTACAAATAATAACTTGACTTCTAGTTGATCATTTGGAAAAGTGGCAGAAGGTCGATTTTTCTAATGAATCATCTGTTGAACTGCATCCCAATCATCACAAATACTGCAGAAGACCTATTGGAACCCGCATGGAGCCAAGATTCTCACAGAAGTCAATCAAGTTTAGTGAAGGAAAAATCAAGGTTTGTGATTAAATTCAGTATGAGGGGGTGCGTGAGATCTGCAGAGTGGATTGCAACATCAACAGCCTGAGGTATCAAAACATATGGCTGCCCATTGCATTACAAACCACATAAGAGGACAAATTCTTCAGCAGGATAGAACTCCTTCTCATACTTCAGCCTCCACATCAAAGTTCTTAAAAGCAAAGAAGGTCAGTGTGCTCCAGGATTGGCCAGCCAAGTCACCAGATATAAACATTATTGAGCTTGTCTGGGGTAAGATGAAGGAAGCATTAAAGATGAATCCAAAGAACCTTTAGGAACTCTGGGATCCTGCAAGAACACTTTTTTTGTCATATCAGATGATGTTAATAGGTTATTTGAGTCATTGCAGAAATGTATAGATTTGATCGACCAAGCTCATGGGAGTCATACACAATATTAATTAGTTTTCCACTGCACCATGACTTTATATTCTCCTGTACATTATTGCTGTTAAGTGACCAGACTTTTGTCTAAGCAATGTCAGACCTTGCAGTCCTAATTAAATATCAAGGCATTATCATATTTTATTTTGGTAAAATAAGTGTAATCTACAGGACTTTTCCTTTCAAATAAGCTAATTCTGTTCCAAATGATCATTAGAAGTCAAGTTATTATTTGTTGTTTCTAAAACTTGGATGAGCGACAAGACTTTCATCAGGTAGTGAATTCTATATTGTTACCTTTGTCTTGTTATTGTAATAAGGCTTTTTATTAAAGTGATATTTATAAAATGTTTATAAATGACCTGTTTTTGCCTTGACAGCCAGAGAGGATGATAAGGTAATAAACTCAAAACATGCTCTCTTCAAAAGCAGAAAACAAATTCATTATCCACATGGGTTAATCGTAAACATTATTTCTATAGGGCTGCATTCCTGGTCCTCGTTTTCTTTATTATGTTCACTGGTTGATGATATGAAAAATGCTTAATTGAGATGATCCGTTAACACTGATCATCTGATAACAGACCTTCATTTAATTTTGGGCTGCTTCCCGTAAGAAATTTGTCACCATATGTTGAAATTAAAGCTGAACGGGGATTTGTTAGTGAGATTGGACTTGTATGTGTGCAGTCTCCGGCGGCATCTGTTCTACAAACTGGACCGAAGGGAATTTAGCTGCAGCCCCACATGCTGCTATAAATAAAGAATATGAAATGAAACGCCCCCTAAGGCTTGAAAATCAACACAATAGGCTGTTTAAGGAACTTGCGGACATTAATCATCTTTTGAGAGGTAGGAGCTGGTGCATAGTGAAATGTTGTCAGTGCTTGTTTAATCCAATAAAGACCCATATACTCTCTGTAATTGTTGTAGCAGTAGGAACATTTAGCAGTATGTAGGCAAATGGACGTGTAAATCGGTTTCAACAGGATACATTAAACATCACTTGATCACTTTTCTGATGATTGATTGGTTGAGATTTCATAAAGTGTTTTACATAAAGTGCATTTGTCATTAGTATTTTTATAAGTTTATTTTTTTATAGTTTTCACTTTGTGTAAAATCATCAGCTTCAGACCACCAGCCCATGCAGACCGATGTCTTGTGTGCATTGTCACATTTTCTCATTTCTTTTATTATAACATTATTCCATTTGAATCATTTGGTTTAATAGGCATATGGCTTCAGGTTTCAAACGTTTATGGGTTTCTTTTTGTTTGTTCTTCAAATAAAAAGAGATGAAAACCTGTAATCATTAGCAGCATCCCAAATCAGACCCTGTAGTTTTTCAGGATTTTTTGTGGACAATTTTGCTATAGATTTTATATATATATATATACACCATAGGATGTCTAATCCCATCTTTGCATTGACTTAACATGTAAATCACTCGCGCTTCATCCGCGTCTGCTTACACTCAAATATATCACTTGTGTTTCGTATACGACATCTATAAATCATGTAAAACAATTCTTTGCAAACTGAAATAAATATAATTTGATTAAATGGTTTGGGGTTAGATGTTTTATGGGATTATGTACTTTTTTGCAGCTATTTTGCGTTTAAATTAAGAATTTTACAGAATTGCTAAAATTAGCGACTTTTTGTTGATTTTGCGTTGGATTCATTGATTGCGGAATCGAGAAAGGGAGTCTGCTAAATGCCACAATTTACACCATGCACTTGTGCACTATGTACTTATGCACTTACATATGCTATGCTGTTAAGTGTGTATGTAGTGACGTCCCAAGTGGAACGCTATCAGGTTTTTTTTCTAAGCGAAAATTCAAACCATTTCCCTGATGACGTTTGACGATTGCCAAATTAGTGAAATAAAAGACCAAACTACCAAAGAATACCTGCCATGAGTATAACCGCATTCACCATCGGAATTACCATCATGGCAGAATAATTCAAAATAAATAATCCAACATAAGTGACCAAAAGCTCCACCCCTTCCGCTTCGTAAGCAAATCAGCGGCTGTTAAGTGTGTGAAGTGTCCACCATTCCACGCTTTTTTTAGTTTTTTTTTTACGGTTAAATAAGTGCATTATCCGGGTGCCCTTATTTTTTTTAATTTTAAGTGTGAATGCATTACCCACACTATTTATACTACAAAATAAAATAGTGCAAAACTATGCGATTTGGGACGCACCTATCGACTTCCACAGTAAGAGTAGCAAATACTATGGAAGTTAACAGTAACAGGTTTATAAAGTATCTTTTTTTTGTGTTAAATAGAAGGAAATTCAAAGTTTTGAATGAAGTAAATGGTTAATAAATGATGACAATGTTCATTTTTGCATGAGCTTTCCTTTTAAGATTGACTGCTTATTTAAAATTGAAGATGTCCTCTTATGTCAATTTCAAAAGTCATAGTAAAAGGGAATTCCTTTTGATACGCTCCATGTTCCAGTTAGGCCCATAAAATCCTTTTAAATGCTCCGCGGACCTGGCCTCTTCACATGAACACAGACGATTAGAGTATGCCTTCTCTCAGTGTGTGTCCTTGTGAGTACAACTTAATTCACACCAAGGACACTTCAATGACTGAGACATTTTTATCACAACATAAAACAGTGCGCCCAGCTGCAGAGCAGACAGTAATTACAGTAATCATCTGCACTGTAAGCCAGTTGAAAAATCTGATAAATGTGGGAAATGTGGCTGACTTGAAAGGATATGGAGCGTTTAAGTTGACTCAGAAATGGATTTGGAATTATGGCTTACCTAAAATGTTGTGACAGAATTAGATCAGGAAGGCAAGAGCCCAAATGGGCCATGTAATCAGCATTCCTCCCTGTATCCCTCATGTCAGGTGTGAGATAAGCACAGGGCTATCATAAAAGCCTGGAGCTTTATAAAATCCTATCATAGGACGTCTGCAAAGCTTAGCCTGTTTGATTGACGGAGGTGGAGCAGTTGTCAGGTGATACGGCCATTGCAACAGATGTCCTGACAGTGAGATCATCACTGATGTCATGCAGCCTAGCGACAGCCTCTGCGAAGGATACCTGAGTGGAATTGGCAGAACTGGTCATCTTAGTAGGAGGTGATCACAGATGCGTTTGTTACTTTCTCTACTTGTGGGAAGTGCACAAAAGTAGCAAACCATCTTATAAGTAAATTGAATGGCTGATGTTTTGGGAAACCTGACAAGTAGCTGTCAAGCTAAAAATTTATTGTTTATTTTTGGGTACAACCGAATCTCACGTGTGGTAGTTAAGTACAGATACATGGTCTCTTAATGTGTTAGAGATACTTAGTTACTTCCAATACTTTGTGTTAGTTTTTTTTTTTTGGTGATGACGGGTTCAAAAAGTGAATTATTGCATTTTTATTATACGGGTCATGTTAAGGCTACACTATTTGTTTTGGACAGATGGTGGTGAACTAATAAATAAATTATGCACACCAAAGTAGAGGGTATGAAAATTTGATATTTTTGTAGAAATAATTAAAATGATCAAGATTGTAGCGTATTGCCTTCTTAGTTTCATATGTTTATTTATTATGAACAGGCTGTTTTTTTCACCTCAAGACTTGACCCCAGAACTTCTAGTTAATTTAAGGTGTCTTTAGTATGTGCATTGTTAACATAATGAGTGGTCTTCTGTCGTGAGTTAAAATTATCGCAGAATTAATTCTTTAGAACAGTTTAATTTTTGTGGATTCATAGTTTACACAAATCAAAATCTCTGCGAGTTAAATCATAAATTGACACTGAACCATTTTATAATTTTTCTTATTTACAGGAGGAATTTGGAGGCTTTACCACAGTTAGTGACAACAGAAGACTACATAGCCCTGGAAGAACGTCAATAGGTAAACAAATTCTCTAAATTATTGTTGTAATTTTAAAAAGGCCCTTATTTGGTTAGCTGGTAACTGGAAAGAAATGTAGGGTTTGTTAATGGAGTGCTTTGTCTATCTGTCAGGTTCTATCACACCAGACAAGAAGCCCAGAGGACGTCCTCCTAGGACTCCTGCTGTGCAGAGGGTTGGCACTGATACTGAAACAGCCCCTTTGCCTGTTGCCACATCACCTACAGAGAAGTTAAAGCGACAACCAGGGAGGCCTCCTGGCACTAGAGAAAAAAAAAGAGGTCGCCCTCCTGCTTCTGTCAGCCAAAGGACCTGGCAACACAGCGGCCATGCACTGCCTGAAGAGGGTAGAGAAGTCCCACAGGAGTGCAGCTCCAGTCCTGTACACAGCAAGGAAGGTGTGGAGGAAAACAAGGAGAAAAGGCAAACTCCACTTGGGTCTGGGCACCATCAGGGATCTGAGGCTAAGCTTCACAAAGTCAGTCGGGAGTCCAAGGTGACCAAACTGAAAAGACTGCGGGAAGTCAAACTGAGCCCACTGAAGTCTAAGCTGAAGGCCATTGTAAGGAAAACAGTCACTGTTCCTGGTAAGCAAAGACGGAAGCGAGGCAGACCACCTTCTGCAGAGCGCCTCAAAGCTGAGGCTGCTGCTGCTGCCGCTGCTGCTCAAGCTGCAAATGCATCCATGGCCCAGGAGACATCCACAACAGCACCGAGGACTGCTAAGAAAAAGGCCTTTAGGGTTCGTCGGTCACAAGACTTGGGTGCTCGCACTCCACATGAGCTCAGGGCTTCTCATACTGCTGATGAACACACTCACTCAGATTCCCAAGACTCCCCTACAGCAGCTGACCCATTGACCCCAACTAAAGTTGGCAGGCCTTTGGGGTTACGTCAGAGCCCTCGCCATATCAAACCTGTGCGGGTTGTCCCTCCCTCTAAACGCACTGATGCCACAATTGCGAAGCAGCTATTACAGAGGGCCAAAAAGGGGGCCCAGAAGAAAAAACTGTTGGAAAAAGATTCTGTTGGCACACAAGGAAAAGCCGGTCTTGAGGCTGGGAAGCACAGAAGGCGAACACAATTAACCAACATTAGGCAGTTTATCATGCCTGTTGTGAGCACAGTGTCCTTGCGCATCATCAAGACTCCAAAGCGATTTATTGAAGATGAGGGCAGTTTCAGCACTCCACCACCACACATGAAAATTGCTCGATTAGAATCAGCACTGACTGCCCCAGCACCCCAACCCGCAACACCATCCACCCCAGCTCTCGTTTCCACAGCTCCTTCTACAAGTGGAACTACTGCCACACCTGGGTCAGGGTCTGCGGTTGAGTCTCTCCCTCCTCCACCACCTCCTGTCTCAACGGGCAGCACTACTGCCATTGCAGCTAGTCTCCTTAACAGCAGCTGCAACAATAGCACTAGCAATGGACGCTTCAGTAGCAGTGCGGCATCCTGTGGCTCCAGTGCTGTTTCGCAGCATTCCTCTCAGCTCTCTTCTGGTGAGTCATCTCGCTCTACTAGCCCTAGCCTTGATGACTCCTCCTGTGATTCCCAAGCCTCTGAGGGTACGCAGGCCCTCTCAGAAGAGGCTGATCATTCCCCAGCCTCTCAAGGAGAGACAGAGGCCAGTTTGCACCATGCCTCTCACCCACCATCACCAACATCTGAGCCAGAGCCAGACCATATAGTTTTGGAGCACAGCAGACGGGGTCGCAGAGGTCAGAGTCATAGACGAGGTGCTGTAGTGGCACGTGGTAGGGGCAACCTAATTATTGGAAGAAAACAGGCTATTATCAGCCCAGCCACAGGAGTTTCACAAGCTGGATCTCAACAGGCCTCTTCCACTGCATCGTCTTCATCTTCCCCACCGCCGCCTCCTCTTCTTAGTCCTCCTCAGCCTCCTCAGACAGCTTCATCCAATGCAGCAGAACATCACTCCCATTCACCTTGGATGATGTCACACTCCATTGCCCCCTTTCTACCTACTTCTTCAATACTCTCCAGTTCTCATGACAAACGTCGCTCAATACTACGAGAGCCTACTTTCCGCTGGACATCTTTGTCATGTGCTGAAAATAAATACTTCTCCTCTGCCAAGTATGCAAAGGAGGGTCTTATCCGCAAACCCACTTTTGACAACTTTCGGCCTCCTCCACTGACTGCTGAGGATGTGGGACTCATGCCTCCAGTCACTGGTGGAGGTGGTGTCACTTCAGGAGGCTTCCCAGCACCTGGTGGTGCGGCTGGGACAGGTACAAGACTTTTCTCCCCCTTGCATCATCATCCTCACCACAATCACCACCAACATTCCTCATCACGTTTTGAAACACCACTCCAAAAGCGCACCCCTTTACTACGCCCTCCTTTCTTTACTCCCAGTCCAGCTCATTCCCGCATCTTTGAGTCAGTAACCCTCCCATCCTCCTCAGGGAGCAGCCCTGGATCTCTGTCTCCCCTACAAGTCTCACCAACATCAAGCAAAAAGAAAAAGGGGTCAAGGTTCTCTCGTGGGCAACCCCGGTCACCTTCACACTCTATGATTACCAGGAGCAGTCAGTCAGGCGTTCCAACAGGGAAGTCTTCTGAACAATCCATTATTAGCAGTTCTGTCCCTATAACCGTAACTGGAAATTCTAGTCCATTACCTGGGGTTGCAGTCAGTCCACTTGCTGCCAGTGCCTTAACTCAAGCATCTTTCAGTGGCTTCCCCTCAGGCTCCATTGGTCTTACAAGCCATGGAGTTTCAGATGGGCGGCGAGCAGCAGGGGGTCTCAGTGTAAGTGGGAATTCTGCTTCATCTTCACAGCTCTTCCCTCTTTTTACACCAAGTCCTCAAGCATCAGGTGGGGGTACTGGAAAAGCAGGAAAGGAACGCGGTATATCTGCTACCAGAGACACAGGTACAAAGGAGAAGGACCGGGAGATGGAGAAGAGCAGGGAACGTGAAAAGGAAAACAAAAGAGATGGAAGAAGAGATTGGGATAAAAGAGGGAAAAGCCTTCCATCAGAAGCTTCCCCCAGTTCTATATCTAGTTTCTTTGGTTTGGAGGCTATTGAGGAATCTCTCACCCAAAAAAGGACCCCTGGCCGAAAAAAGTCAGTCACAGTTGACTGTGCAGAGGCCTCTCCAAGTGACTCTGCAGCAGTTCAGGCTGTTGGGTCCTTGTCATCAAAGGGTCGGCTGACTAAAAAAGGCAGACCTCCAGAGAAGAGTATTGAATCAGAGGGAGTAGAGAGGGAAAAGGACAAAGAGAAACTGAGTGCCCTTACCCAAGCAGGTCAGATGGGGAAACCCCCAACAACTACATCCATAGACTCCATATTAGATCGTGCCGAGAAGCAGCCTGTTACAGACAGACGTGTTGTTAGACTGCTGAAAAAAGCTAAAGCCCAGCTCAATAAGATAGAGAAGCGAGAGTTACAACCTGGTGATCAACCCAAATTGCCGGTATGTCCTATCTTTTGTCACCTTTGCTTTGATAAACATTTTCAGGTTTGTAAATGCAGCAAAGTTAATTTTCACTTGTTTGTCTTGTGCAGGGACAAGAAAGTGACTCCTCTGAGACTTCAGTCCGTGGTCCACGAATTAAGCATGTGTGTCGTCGTGCAGCTGTAGCTCTGGGTCGCAACCGTGCCGTGTTCCCAGATGATATGCCTACCCTTAGTGCCTTGCCATGGGAGGAGAGAGAAAAGATCTTGTCTTCCATGGGAAATGATGGTGAGAAAAGATCTTAAAACTAGTTTGATATTGTTTACAAAAGTATTGTTGTTGTAAAGTTGTTTTAAATGATGTTCTTGAATAGACAAATCATCAGTGGCGGGATCAGAGGAGGCAGAGCCACCCACACCTCCTATTAAGCCAGTAACAAGGCAGAAGACAGTCCATGAGGCCCCACCCAGAAAGGGCCGGCGCTCTCGACGCTGCGGGCAGTGTCCAGGCTGCCAAGTCCCAAATGACTGTGGGGTGTGCACCAACTGCCTGGATAAGCCCAAATTTGGGGGGCGCAATATTAAAAAACAATGTTGCAAGTAAGCTCAATCTTTTTTTTTATTGTGGGTTTCAGAATTCTTGTATCTTAAAAGTGTAATTGCCTTGAAACCTTTTTTGCTTGTGTCATCACAGAGTACGGAAGTGTCAGAATTTGCAGTGGATGCCATCAAAGTTTCTTCAGAAGCAAGCAAAAGGTCAGTTTCCTAAAAATGCTTTGTTTATAAATCAAATATGCTCTTACATTTCAAATCATTGTTTGTTTCTGCAAACTAAAGGTAAAAAAGACAGGAGGAGGAATAAATTGTCTGAAAAAAAGGAATTGCACCACAAATCCCAGTGTTCTGAAGCAAGCCCCAAGTCGGTTCCTCCTCCAAAGGATGAACCTCCCCGTAAGAAAAGTGAAACTCCGCCACCAGCACAGGGAGATGACAAACAAAAGCAGACACAACCTTCATCACCATCCTCACCAGCTTCCTCCCCAAAGGACCCTCTCCTTTCTAGTCCTCCTGACGACCACAAGCATTCACTGACTTCTCTGAGCTCAGCTTGTAGAAAGGAACGGAAGCAGCAGCCCAGTTCTTCACCCACCTTCCTGCATGCTGCCCCATCTTCCCCACCAGCACAGTCCCAGCATTCCTTGCAGCAGCCATGCCAAATGCCAGCAAAAAAGGAAGGTCTTACAAAGTCGCAGTCGCACACTGAGCCCAAGAAGAAATCTCAACAACAAAGTCAACCCAGCTCTGCCACAGACACAGGTAAAGAGATTTATTCTCGTTAACATTTCCAATTAGGCTCCTGGAAGAGACCACTTTCTGCTCTTAGGTTTAGCTCTAGTATCAGGCTGGTGTGTTGTAAACTCTGAAGAAAGATGGTCTTCCAGAAGCAGAATTGGACACCCCTAACTTTAACTTGCCATTAATTCTTTTGTTTTATGGTCATGTCATTTTTTAGCACCTGATGCAAAGCTAAAGAAACAGACCACTCGATGCGTTCAACCACTCAAGCCTAAACCAAAAGAAAAGGTAAGCAGATTTCGCAGCCACTTGATTATTGTTGTCATAAATTTTGTTTATAAGCAGTAGTGTTGTCTATTGATCTGATAATATTCTTAGCGATGCTGATATTTCCGTGACTCGTAGCACAAGTGATGTTGCTGGTTTAATTCCCGATGGATGCACATGCTGATCAAATGTACCTTGAATACATTGCCAGTCACTTTGGATAAAAGCATCTTCGATATGCTTCTGTGTAATGTAAATATGATTGTTTACAGGAGAAACAGCTACCCAAACCTGACAGCAGTACTTTAAACTCCCAGAGCACTCCTTCGACTGGGGGCACAGCCAAGCAGAAAGCGCCCTACGATGGAGTGCATCGAATCAGAGTGGATTTCAAGGAGGACTATAACATTGAGAATGTGTGGGAGATGGGTGGGCTCAGCATTCTCACCTCTGTGCCAATCACCCCACGGGTGGTGTGCTTTCTTTGTGCCAGCAGCGGTAATGTAGAGGTGGGTCATCTTTTGTTAAAGGAGAAGAATCGAAGGCATAAAAAGGATGGGATGTGTTCTTATGCCTTGTTGTGTTTAGTTTGTTTTCTGCCAGGTGTGCTGTGAACCCTTCCATCTCTTCTGCTTGGGGGAGGCAGAGCGGCCTCATGACGAACAGTGGGAAAACTGGTGTTGCCGCCGATGCCGCTTTTGCCATGTTTGTGGGCGGAAATATCAGAAAACCAAAGTAAGACATTTTATGAAGAATTCTGATGTAAAAGACTGCAAGAGCCATCTAAAAGTTTCCTCTAAAATGTACATCTTTCTCAGGCTCCTTTGTGTAGGTACAGTAATTTTACTTTTATGCCGAGTTTAGACTACATGATTTTAGCCCCAATTTTGACTCGCCGCTTTGAGAGATCAGCAACAAATTCTTGAAATCACAGGCAAATCGTTGCTCGTTCACGCGAGTAACAATCACACTCTGCGAACTATCAAAGTCGCGTTCTGAGAGAATCACAGTCGCCAATACCCATGAGATATTTTGCGTGCTGTTGGCGTCCTGTCGACGATTCAAAATCATGCGGTGTGAAATGTGTTCTGATTGTTAATAGCATCAGTGATCACCTATAACCAATGAGAGAGAAGCATCCACTAGTATGGGTATTGGCAAGCCAGCGGGAAGTTGGGGGAGAAGTTGCAGGCTTCTTTTCAGTCTATTTGGATCCAAGAAATAGTGTAAATTTGGCAGGAGCACCCGTGTCTGTTTGAAGTGTCACCTGAGCAATACAACAAACCGGGTCGAAAAAGAAAAAAATGTTTAAGAGAAATTGCCAATTCCTTCCAAAGGGCAGATGAGCAAAATTAAGAACATTCTCTATTCCACTAATGTCTTCTTTCACATTATGTAGTTCATAACAAAAGGTAAACTACGTGACCTTGCATTGTTTTTGCGTCACTTCTCACGTGTGTTTGGTTGTAAGAGATGTAGTTTTCAGAACGAGACAAAGTTGTCGCTGATTCTTCCTATTATAAAAACGCTTGCCTAGATAGTCATGCAGTGTGAAAACATCTGTGACTGGTCTACTTTGAAAATCGTGCAGTCTGAACTTGGCATTAGGGTGTTGAATTGGTTCTTTTCATTGCCGTTTAAAGTAAAACAGCTGAAAATAAACATGAGACTGAGAAAAATGCTCATTTTAGACAGAATTGAGATGGGACTTCTCAAAAACATTTATCTATTTATTTATTTATTTTATAATTTAGACTAATAGATTAATTTATAGACAAGGAACACAATAGCAGGTATTTTCATTTCTCGAAAACTTAAGTGTTTGAGGCTGTCATAGATACTGATTTAGTATTTTAGAGATCATAAGAGTAGTCAAATACTTCCAAAAAAAAACATACATAATTGATTTTAAAAGAAGACAGTGTTGGAACAAAGAGGGGAAAGTTTTTTAAACTACCATATTTAATGGAATTTTTAGACCTCTACAGTAGGCAGTATTTAATGGGAGAGATTATGTAATTTACTAAAGTTGTATTTCACATGGTGACTTGGCTAAGCAATGACCACATCCAAAAGAATGTGATGCATTCTGTCTTAATAATTTTAAGATACATTAGATTAATATTGAAAGCATGAGTTGGCTTGGATCAAGAATTATAAATGTCCTCCTTTGTGATGTGCTAGTGAAAAATAAGACCTTATGAATGGGGAATTCTTGTCAGCAATCTGGAATTATAATTTCCTTTCTGTTTATTTAAAAACCTTCTAAGCAACTTCCAAGTTTTAGCTTCTTTCTTTCTTTCTTAAAGCCCTTCAGAAATGACAAATGCTCAGTACTAAGATGGAAACAAACTTTTAAATGTTATTTTTTCCATCATCATTTAGCAGCTACTGGAGTGTGACAAGTGCCGAAACAGCTATCACCCCGAGTGCCTGGGACCCAACCATCCTACCAGACCCACCAAGAAGAAGAGAGTCTGGGTACTTGAATGCTCTAAATCTTAGAAGTCTGTAACATCTGTGGCAGCGTTCTCCCATAGTTATTTTTTCTTCTGCCACAGGTTTGCACCAAGTGTGTGCGCTGTAAGAGTTGTGGAGCCACCAAACCAGGAAAGGCCTGGGATGCCCAGTGGTCACATGATTTCTCTTTGTGTCATGACTGTGCCAAACGTTTAACTAAAGGTTAGTTCTAATCATCTTGAATGTTTATTGTATGCCTTGTCATTAAACAATGTAATAAATGTTATTTCCCCCTTCCAGGCAACTTGTGCCCACTTTGTAATAAGGGCTATGATGACGATGACTGTGACAGCAAAATGATGAAGTGCAAAAAGTGTGACCGCTGGGTCCATGCCAAATGTGAAAGCTTAACAGGTGAATTATCAAATTTTATTTGCATCTCTTATGTATCAAGTGGCATAACAAGGCACAATTTCATTTATTTTTTATTTGTTTATTTGGATTACAGAAATTTTATATTTTATTCTGTGAAGCAGCATAAATTTGAAAACTTACAAAGGGATTTATGATTTTGCCTAGTGTTTCTTTTTTAAATAAATCCTATTCTTTTAAAATTTAAAAAGATAAATGATTCTTCAGGCTCAAAATTTAGCAAATTAGAATCATTTCTAAAAGATCACATGCTAAGTTATTATAGTTAACGAAAACTAGAATTGAAAAACGTTTTGTTAACTGAAATAAAAATAAAAACGAGAGTTAAAAAAACAAACAAACTAGAACTAACTAAAACTGGATTGTGTATGTACAAAACTAATTTAAACAAAAATTATCGCAAAAACGTCCTTTGTTTTCGTCTTTGTAATTGTATTAAAATACATACTGTTAGCCTTTTAGAAGTAAATATATTTGCTTTGTGCTGCCAGTGCTCCTGTTGCCATTTGCCAGTCATCCTCGCTGTTGCTCCCGCTATGAGTCCATGACAAAAACAATGAATGGACATGACAGCATTTATTAATTTTATTTCTGTATTAGTGATTGTGATCGTGGACATCTTTTTTTTTTTTACCGGATCTTCTAAGTGAACCGGTTGAACTAATTCACCAAATCGAACTGAATCATTTGAAACGATTCGTGTCTCCAATAGTGATAAGCACTTATCCACAAACAACTTTTTAACATGCCTAATACCCCCCTCTGACTCAAAATAAACCAATATATACTGAGTTATTCAGTTACTAGAACAGTACACTGAGATCAGATTTGAGAAGCGATTAATCGATATTACTGCGTATGCGTATTATTCAATAGATGGTGAATCGAACGCAAATAGTAATGACAGCCTGCTGTTACGGAACTTAACTTGAACTGAGTTAACCAAGGGATTAAATGAGAGGAAACATAAGTTTATTTTATAACAGAAAGTCGTAATGGAATTCAAATAAGCCTAATCCTGCTTAAGTTGTGTTGCAAAACGTAATTGTAAGAAACTTTTTTAGATCATAGTGATGTTTTAACTGACTGAAATTATGATTGCTGACTACATATTTTTGATCTGTTGAGTCCAAACTTGAAAAGATTGTCACAAAAGACCCAGTTCACAGTAAAGATCGGAACTTCCCATCTACTGTTAGATAAACTTCAGTTTATCTGCCACCAGAAGCAGCCTTGCACACATATTTTACTAGAGGCTGCTTTCTAGTGAGCTGTTGTATTTGGATTTGAGGATGGGTAGAGTTATTGTACATTATTTATTCTGATGATTTTGAATCTTGTACCTAACAAATATACTAATTTACAAAAAAAAGTATAGCTAATATTGAAACTAATGAAAAACTTATTTCAAATGATAAAAAACAAGTAATTTGACCTCTAAAAACTATTTAAAACAAACTGTATTGAAAACAAAAAAAATCACAATGAAATAAATACTAAAACTAATGAGAAATCTGAAACTATTATAACTTTGATAATGTTATACTGAAACAATGGAGCAGTGGATCTTAGAAATTCACCCTTGCTATCACCATCACAGGAACAAATTGCTTTAAAATGTGTCAAAATAGAAAACCTTTCTCAAAATATTGCTTTATTTTTTTTTTACTGTAAATTTGGTGAAATAAATGTAGTCTCTGAAATACTTCTTTAAAACAGTAGTGCAAGTCTTTAGTTAACAAGATAGTTAGGCCAAAAATGAAAATTTACTCTCACACAAGTGGTTCCTTTTTATTTTATTTTATTTATTTATTCTTTACAAATTTTGTCATCACAAATTAAGATATTCTGAGGAACACTGGAAACCAACAGCCATTGACATCCATAGTATTTTTTGTTCCTACTATGGAAGTTAATGATTGCTGCTTTCCAAAATGCGTCACAATATATAGTTTTGTGTGCAACAGAAGATACAGATTTGGAACAAGTGAGAGTAAATGAAGACAGAATTTTCCTTTGGTTTGTGAACTATCCCCTTAAGCTGTAATAAGTTCTAACGTGGCCATTGGTGATGAAACGGGTATGGTAGCATTCTAGAGGTTTAATGCCATGTTGTAATAGCAATCTTTTGTTTGTTTTTTTTGTATGTAGATGACATGTGCGAGCTCATGTCTAGCCTGCCTGAGAACGTGGTCTACACTTGCACAAACTGCACTGAGTCCCATCCTGCTGAGTGGCGCACTGTCCTAGAGAAAGAAATTCAGAGGTCCATGCGGCAAGTTCTCACCGCCTTGTTCAACTCCCGCACATCCACACACCTGCTCCGCTATAGACAGGTGAGTTACCATCTCCAGTCTCAGTTGCCCACAGCTTTATTTCCACTATATACCTTAACATTGCCAATTGTTTCAGGCTGTTATGAAGCCACCTGAGCTCAACCCAGAGACCGAAGAAAGCCTTCCCTCACGACGTTCCCCAGAGGGTCCTGATCCCCCTGTGTTAACGGAGGTCTCTCCACCAAACGATTCGCCGCTCGATTTAGAGTCTGTGGAGAAGAAAATGGATTCTGGATGCTATAAATCTGTGGTAAGTTTTTCTCCTTTGTGAAATCCGAAAGGTAGCTTTTATGTTTTTATTCTTCTGCGAAAGATTATCTGTTGTCTTTTAAGCCTCCAGTTCAGCAGGGTTCAGGCAACGGTCACATGTGAGAGCCCAGGTGTCATTTTCTGTTCCTCTCTTTCAGCTGGAGTTCAGTGATGACATTGTGAAAATCATCCAGACAGCCTTCAACTCAGATGGAGGTCAGCTAGAGAGCAGGAAAGCCAACAGCATGCTCAAGTCCTTTTTTATTCGGGTGAGAAAAAGCTGGTGGACACACAGTTCTGACAGTTGGGTGTCTCGAAGTCCTGCGTTGTGTCTAATGACACTTGTCGCTTTTTTTTGTTACAGCAAATGGAGCGGATTTTTCCATGGTACAAGGTGAAGGAGTCCAAATTTTGGGAGACAAGCAAAGCTTCTTCCAAGTGAGTGCAAACTTTGTTTTAGTTTGCTTGCTGTTTTAATTTCAGCCTTAAAATTGATTTGATCAAAGAAGAATTTTTTCATTGCTAAGTTCCCACACAAAATATACGTTGTTTAAAGGTAAACAGTTGGACAAGTCAAGGTAGTGTTTGAGCATCGAGAGCAAACTCACCGCGGACTGTCTGTCTATTCTTTGCTCTCTGGTAGAGCAGAAATATCACCTTTCCATAGGGAATGCAGCCTGTATGGTCTAGTTCCATTGTTTGAGGTCGACAGGCAGTGTCACATTTCACATGGGGTGCTTTGACAAGTCTTGTGGTTGGCATTTGGTTTGCTTGTTTGTATACTTCATTTGTTACCATGAATTATTAAGAGCAGTGCTAAGTTTTGTTTTTGTGTATGTATGCAAGCCTGACATTTGAATATTGCCTCCTAAAGAAAGAAAACAATGTTCATACCTAGGGATGCAACGATTATAGATTTTGGTTGTTCGATTATAGTCTGAGGAATAATCAGGGTTATCATGATTAGTATGCATTCATTAATTTCAAAACACTACTAGTTTAGAAAATCACATAAAAATTATTTATATTTATATTAAAAAATATATATTTTAAAGTGTTATTTATTGCTTCTCAGTAACCAAATCATACAACATGAAATAATAATAAAAACATCCATTTTGGACAAATTAGTCAATTTTTCTCCTTTGACTTAAAAATAAGTGAAAACATTTTTTTTTTTGCATTTAAACAGAAGTGATAGTTTTACATTGAAAATAAATTACAGAACAATGAAATTTTTTTTACTTGTTTTATGTAAATCTAAGCATCATATTAGCTAAGTATTTGCGTTTTAAAGAGAACAAATGTAGTCAAAGGCTAAGGCATTTTGATCAACTGTATTATGAGCTTGTTTGGTATTTTCATTTAGTATTTTTTTTGCCTTTGTAGTAGAAATATCTATATTCAATACAAAGTAAACAAGGCAGTGGCGCAGTAGGTAGTGCTTTCGCCTCACAGCAAGAAAGTCGCTGGTTCGCAAGAAAAGCAATGACAAAATTGTGCGCACAAAACACGCGACGTGAACAGGCCTTAGTTAATAGTCTCAGTCATAGTTAATCCAATGTGTATGGGTATTAGCCTCAGTGTTCTAGCTCAGAACTTTAAACTAGTCTACAGTTGGCATAAATGTTTAGTTGCAGCAGTTTTGTTCCATGCTGAAACGCAATGTTGAGAAGCCTTTACAAGTAATTAACCATGACCAATTAAAATGTGGTTAACAGAAAAATCTGTTAATCGTTGCATCTCTGCTCATACTTTCCTTTTAAAATAATTTTTCAGCTTTTAGTCTGTTTAATTAAAATTGTCTTTTGGTCATTAGATTTTATTATGCATATTTTCCTTCCATCTTTGTAAACCTACACTAATGCTAAAAGTTTGGGGTTAGTAGGATTATTTTATAAAACATATTTTTTGCTCTTATTCATCAATAAGGCATGGAAATTTACACTACCGTTTAAATATTTATTCTTTGTAACCTTCTTTTCATTTGTGTTCTGGCCACAGGTGTTTTGTTGTGTACTATATCAATAAATTAATGAAGTGTTTAGACTTTTAAAAACACTGTTGTAACACATTGAGCCTCTAAGCATTGTTGTTATGATGCTTTTCTACTTGAGGAACATGTGAATTACTTCCAAATAATTCAAAAATAGTCTGTTAGTAAATGCAAGTCTACTTCTGAAATCCAGGCTTAACACTGTATGACATCGTTTCAGATGACTGTTCAATAGCCTACAGCTAATCAATCTGTCAGATTCTGGAGTGCTTTACAATGATCCTAAATAAAACATTTACATTTATAGAGATGGTATATAAGTATATAATTTCTCTCACCTGGGAAATGGAGGTAACTTGAATGGTTTGTGAGCACAATTAAGTGCACACAGCATCCCATATTATCTGATAATATTAATAATTCCAAAAGGCAGTAGACTGTGTAAAGCCACATAAAACAAAACAAAAACACAATGTATATGCCGAGTTTTGGTGGCTAATCAGCTGAGGTGACGTGACGCGACCAGCAAGACCTAGCTGTTACTCAAGTGGCCACACCCTTAATTATGCAGACTTAATATAACTTAAAAAAACAAAATGGATTAGTTATTTAAAAAATCACCCCCTCACAATTGTCATGAAGAGTAATATTAGCTATATGCACCAAAACCAACTTTTGTACCAGGCTGTAAACATGTTTTTATCAGCTGTAAAATTGGCCAATTCACCGTTGCAGTCAGTGCACATCTGGACTTCCTGGAGCCAGCCCCCAAAGGCGAGCTGATGATTTGCAGTTTCAGTTACTTCTGGATTGGCTTCACGAGGGAGTGATGCTTGATATTTACTCAACTGAACTAAGAATGAACAATACTAGTACATTAATTATTAATCATAGTTCAACATTTACTAATGCATTTTTAAAAATCCAAATCCAAATTTGTTAACTTGACTTAATAACGAACAACTTCTTTAACCTTAACAAATATGATTAAATACTGTAATAAATGTATCATTAATATTTATTTATTTGTTATAAAAACTATAACATTAAGCAATTTAGCCTTATTGTAAAATGCCACAATAGCATTTTTTTTTTGTATAATGTCAATAAAAACGGTTGAATAGATTTGTATACACACAAATATCTCAATATGTTGGGTATTCATGTACTCATGTTGTGTAACAAAGTCATGGCTAACAAGGCAGTGTTACATCTTTGCAGTAGTGGACTGCTTCCCAATGTTGTTCTGCCACCTTCTTTGGATCACAACTATGCCCAGTGCCAGGAGAGAGAGGAGATAGCCAAGGCTGGGCAGTCCGTGCACATGAAAAAGATCATCCCGGCTCCTCATCCTAAAGCCCCTGGAGAACCCAACTCTCTGATGGCCCCTACACCACCCCCTCCTCCACCAATGCTTATCCATGGTTAGAAAGTCATTTTACAGCACTGTAAAAACAAACATGTACAAGAACTACTGGTATGATACAATATGTGCAAGAAGAGTTCAATTATAATATTCTTATGTTTCTTTTGTGTTCAGACCACAGCCTTGAAGACAGCCCTGTTATTCCTCCTCCTCCTGGTGTTGGTGACAACAGACAGTGTGCGCTTTGTCTGAATTATGGAGATGAGAAAACAAATGTGAGTAATCACCCATCAAAAAGAATACATTAGCATTTACACTTGGATTTATAATTATGCTGGATTTCAGTTTTATAAGACATTGCTTGGTAATGTGTTTTTTAGGATTGTGGCAGACTGCTGTATATTGGTCATAATGAGTGGGCGCATGTGAACTGTGCCCTGTGGTCAGCAGAGGTGTATGAGGATGTTGATGGAGCTCTGAAAAATGTTCATATGGCTGTAAGCCGAGGCAAACAGCTGGTACGCACTGTGTCATGTTTGTTCATCGCAATAATATACATTAATCTGCTTAATTTTGGTATTTTATAAGTAGACCACTGTCAATAAATCTTTCCTTGCCCACAAACAGACTGCATAATGCTTTGTTTTCTCAGCAATGTAAGAATTGTCACAAACCTGGAGCCACTGTGAGTTGTTGTATGACCTCCTGCACCAACAACTACCATTTCATGTGTGCACGTCAGCAGCAGTGTGCCTTTTTAGAGGACAAGAAGGTTTACTGTCAGCATCACAAAGATCTTGTAAAGGGCGAGGTAAGGAGTGATGCATGCATATATCAGTAAGCAAGTTGTGCACTAAGGATTACTTATTTGTTGTGAATTATATATAATATATATATTTATATTTATTTATTTATTTATTTTTATTTTTTTTAAGGTGGTGCCAGAGTCTAGTTTTGAAGTAACTCGGAGGGTTCTTGTGGACTTTGAGGGAATCCGTCTGAGAAGAAAATTTGTTAATGGACTTGAACCAGATAACATACACATGGTGATAGGTCTGTATGTTGTTACAGGGGGCTTGTCTATGATAAAGAAATCACACTGCAGAAAAGTTAAATGTCCTTTTTTTTTTTATACAGGATCTATGACCATCGACTGTCTAGGTATGCTAACTGAACTGTCAGACTGTGAGAGGAAGCTATTTCCTGTGGGATACCAGTAAGTCTTTGAAAATTGTGTTGTTGCATTTTAATAAATACAAATAGAAATTAAATTAATTGATCAAATTATGCATTTACACAGATGTTCAAGGGTCTACTGGAGCACTCTAGATGCCCGCAAGCGATGTGTTTATAAATGTAGAATATTAGTGTGTAGGCCTCCTTTGAGTGAAACTTTGAATAAGAACATAGCAGCTCAAGAGGAGAACCACACAGTTGTCCATAGTCCTCCACCTGTTTCAGGTAAGCATGTTATCATGTTTCTTTGTCCGTATTCAGATATTTTTTTGCCATTTTAAAGTCTGATTATTGTTCAACCTTTCAGCAGTGGATACCTTTTTGCCTGGACCCATAGATTCCACAAAACCATCAAATGTGCCTTCCACACCAAAACCACGAGTTTATTTTAGGAACAGGCACCCCAGCTTTCCACCATGCCATCGTTCTCCTTCAACCAGACCACTTCCCTCACCAGGTAGGAGTAATATACTGTAAATGTTTATATTTCGACTTCCTTCTGCTTTTTTAAACCTTTTAAAAATGTTAATGAAATTGTTTTTTCCTTCATAGATGGTTTTAATAATACAGGCCATGAGATTGTGACTGTTGGAGACCCTCTGCTGAGCTCTAGTCTTCGAAGCATTGGATCTCGTCGACACAGCACTTCCTCCATCTCTGCTCAACAACCTAGGCAAAAGGTTTCCTCCCCTCCACAGGGAGGTACAGTATACAGCCAAACAGGCAATTCATCTGCCTCTTTCATGTCTTCAACCTCTAAAGAACCTTTAACCAAGGACACAGATAAAGGAAGGGTATCATCTGGAGAGACATCTTTCAGTCGAGAACCAAATTCGATAAACATTGGAGCACAGCGTCGACTCAGTTTTGGTTTCACTGAAAGAGTGGATGGTAGTAAAGAAGCAACCAAAAAGCACTCTGATGGTGAGAGTTTGAAGTCATCGCAACCAGCTAGTGTAAGTCAGGTGTCTCCACCTCTTGGAACTGCAGTATTGACAGGACATCAGAGAGCAAGTGGTGGTATAAAAAATGAGAAAGGGAAACAAGCAACAAAAGATAATGACCTGCCAGCTGGAGCCACTTTTATGTCCAGTCATCCACTTGCCATGCTTCCAAAAGACAAAGCTAATCCAAACAAGGAAGGAAATATGACATCAATGGCTGCATTAAAAGACACAGTAAAGACAGGTTCTCCGCAAAGGATTTACAATAAAAGTGGGAGTAGGAAGTCTCATGACTATGCGTCAGGCCCAGCTGCAGTGGTAGCAATGAAACCTCTCTGGTCATCTGGTGCCAAGTTGGGAGAGGAAGACATAAAGCGTGGCTTTCAGGCAAGTGCTGGTATCACTGGTAGTCACGGGACCTCTAGCACCAAAGAAAAACACTCCAAAGTCAAAATGAATGTCAGCAGGGATGTTTCAAAAGAAAGAAAAGAGACTCCTCAAAACCGAAATGCGGTGCTCAACAGCAACTCTAAAAGCAGCAATGTCAAAACACAAGGTCAGGTTCCACCACCTCACAACATCAGCAATAAAGCCACAGCACTAAGCAGCAACACAGGGTCTGGCACTGTGGAAGTTAATAAATTTGATCAGAAGGAAGTGGAGAAGCCATTAAAGTCCAAAGAGAGATTTAGCTTTGAGAAAAAGCATACTTCAGCCATGGATGCTATTCAACCGAAAGCAGGGTCAGAGAGAAGTATTCGACCACCACAAGTGCACCCTAAGTCAAGTAAGGAAGTTCCTCTAGTGGGAAAGAAACACACCGAAAGGCTTTCTTTAATGTCTCAGAAAATGGATCCTAATCGAACAAAAGCAGTCAGCATATCACCTAACACACAAACATACACTTCTGTTACCCCTAGCAACCAGGGCCCCCAAAGAAGGTCGTCTCGAGCTATGGTTTTCTCCCCATCTGCAAGTTCAGAGAGCTCTGAATCAGACAGCCACATCCACCCGGATGATTCTGAAGAGCATCTCATGGACCACCAGTGTGCTGATGATGGGGAGGACAATAATTTAGAGGATGAAGGCAGTGTCGATAAACACCACGAGGAGGATAGTGATGGTTCAGCAGGTTCAGCAAAACGCAGATACCCAAGGAGGAGTGCCCGTGCTCGATCTAACATGTTTTTTGGGTTAACTCCATTCTATGGTGTTCGATCGTATGGTGAGGAAGACATACCCTTTTACAGAAGTGGTGAAATCTCTATGAAGAAGCGGACTGGGAGCAGCAAGCGCTCAGCCGAAGGGCAGGTTGATGGAGCAGATGATATGAGCACATCTTCTTCAGCAGACAGCGGAGAGGATGAAGAAGGAGGAATTGGCTCCAATAAGGATACTTACTATTACAACTTCACACGCACTATAATAAACCCTAGCTCTGGTCTTCCATCTATTGCTGGTATTGATCAGTGTTTGGGAAGAGGTTCACAGATCCACAGATTCTTGAGGGACCAGGCAAAGGAGCATGAAGATGACAGTGATGAAGTTTCAACAGCAACCAAAAACTTGGAGCTGCAACAAATTGGTCAGCTGGATGGTGTAGATGATGGTTCAGAGAGTGACATTAGTATAAGTACCAGTAGCACAACCACTGCTACTACTTCATCCACACAAAAAGGTTCAACAAAAAGGAAAGGTAGAGAAAGTAGGACTGAAAAATCAAATGTTGACTCAGGGAAGGAGGCAGTAAATACCACTAGTAACAGCCGTGACAGTCGAAAAAATCAAAAGGATAACTGTCTTCCATTAGGAAGTGTGAAAACACAAGGACAAGACCCACTTGAAACTCAATTATCACTCACCACAGATCTGCTCAAGTCTGACTCTGATAACAACAACAGTGATGACTGTGGTAACATCTTACCCTCTGATATTATGGAGTTTGTGCTCAATACCCCTTCAATGCAGGCTTTGGGACAGCAAGCAGAAGCTCCTTCTGCTGAACAATTCTCTTTAGATGAGAGTTATGGGGTGGATGTTAACCAAAGAAAAGACATGCTTTTTGAAGATTTTACTCAGCCTCTGGCCAATGCTGAATCTGGCGAATCTGGGGTGAGCACTACCATTGCTGTAGAAGAGTCATACGGGCTTCCTCTTGAGCTGCCCTCTGACCTCTCTGTGCTTACAACTCGAAGTCCCACTGTAAGTAATCAAAATCATGGGCCACTTATCTCGGAAACCTCTGAACGCACCATGTTAGCTCTGGCTACGGAAGAGTCAGAAGCTGGGAAAAGCAAGAAGAAAACAAGAACGGGGTCCACTGTATCCAGCAAGAGCCCACAGGAGGGATGTGCTGATTCACAGGTTCCAGAAGGACACATGACTCCTGAACACTTCATTCCTCCAAGTGTTGATGGTGACCATATTACAAGCCCTGGAGTAGCACCTGTGGGAGAGACCGGGAACCAAGATATGACTAGAACTAGTAGCACGCCAGTTCTTCCCAGCTCACCCACCTTGCCTCTCCAGAATCAGAAGTTCATCCCTGCTACCACTGTCACCTCAGGTCCGGCTCCAATTACAAGTTCTGCTGTTCAAGCTGCTGCCTCTCAGTTGAAGCCTGGCCCAGAGAAATTGATTGTGCTTAACCAACATCTGCAGCCACTCTATGTATTGCAAACCGTTCCTAATGGTGTCATGAATCCTAATGCCCCTGTCTTGACAGGACTCAGTGGTGGCATCTCCACATCTCAGTCCATTTTTCCTGCTGGCAGTAAAGGTTTAGTGCCTGTATCTCATCATCCACAAATCCATGCATTCACAGGCACCACTCAGACAGGTTTCCAACCAGTCATTCCCAGCACCACATCTGGCCTGCTCATAGGAGTTACCTCCCATGATCCCCAGATTGGTGTAACAGAAGCAGGACATAGGCATGATCATGCCCCTAATGTTGCCATGGTATCTAGTGCTTCAACTATCACCCCAGCTCCATCCATGATTCCCTCTGGTCATGGCAAAAAGCGCCTTATTTCCCGTCTTCAGAGTCCTAAGAGCAAGAAACAGGCTCGTCCAAAAACCCAGCCCACTCTTGCTCCTTCTGATGTTGGACCCAATATGACCCTCATTAATTTGTCACCTTCACAGATTGCAGCAGGCATCCCTGCTCAGACAGGCCTGATGGAACTGGGGACTATAACTGCCACACCTCATCGAAAAATTCCAAACATCATAAAACGGCCAAAGCAAGGAGTGATGTACTTGGAGCCTACTATCCTCCCACAGCCCATGCCCATCTCAACCACAACTCAGCCTGGCATACTGGGACATGATTCCTCAACTCACCTGCTCCCATGCACTGTGTCGGGGCTCAACACAAGTCAGTCTGTTTTAAATGTAGTGTCGGTCCCTTCCAGTGCACCTGGAAACTTTTTGGGGGGCAGCTCTGTATCTCTAAGTGCCCCAGGCCTCATTAGCTCAACTGAGATCACAGGATCTTTAAGTAACCTCCTTATCAAAGCCAACCCTCACAACCTGAGCCTTTCAGAGCAACCAATGGTTCTTCATCCAGGAACCCCAATGATGTCTCATCTTACAAATCCTGCCCAGACGTCCATTGCCAGTAGCATTTGTGTTTTTCCCCCAAACCAAAGCATAACTGTGCCTGTCAACCAGCAAGTGGAGAAGGAGGGCACTGTCCATCTCCAACATGCAGTCAGTCGAGTCCTGGCGGATAAGACCCTTGACCCAAATGTCAGCTCAGCTGGTCAAGTGGCTCTTGCCCCTAATCCTATCTCTCAAGAACTTAACAAAGGTCATGTTGTTAGCGTCCTTACTCAGAGTTCAAGAACCTCTCCCATCTCTCGGCCACAACATCAGCACCAAGCCTCAAAATTACCTGCTGGAGCAAGCTCAGTTGCGTTTGGGAAAGGGAAACATAAAGCAAAAAGACCCCGTCCATGTCCAGATAAGAGCAGTGGAAAGAAACACAAAGGACTTCATTCAGATACACCAACTGTTGACACATCTGCAATCCAATTATCATATATTAAAGGGTAAGAACCTGATGTTATTTAAAACATCTTGTTTATAGGCAATTAGAATAAATTTAAGCACATTATATAAAAATATATGTATATTATAGGGACCAGGAACTGTCATCACCTGAGCCAATGGATACAGGACAGTCTAATGAAACCGGTTCAAAGAAGAGGTAAACTATAAGAAAAGTCAATCTTTACTTTCCAATGTAATCAGTTGTATCTGACCTAATCAAACTTTTTCTTGTTTATAGGGATTCTACCACTATGACTACCAATTCTTCTGCTCTGAAACGTAAAACCGTAGATGCTGTTGATGAGAAACCAAGTACTGCAGGTGGGTACAATAGCAGTTTTGTCAACCCAATTCTCTTTACATTGGTCACAGTAGTTATAGTTTATTTTTTCTCTATAATTCTTTGCAGGACTGCCAAGTAAAGGTGATGGAACAGGAAACAAAGCATTTTCAGTGGATACACCTGATCAAAGGGACAGTGGGAGAGATTCTTCTCTGGACCACAAGCCCAAGAAAGGCCTCATATTTGAAATCTGCAGTGATGACGGATTTCAGATTCGCTGTGAGAGTATTGAGGGTAAGCGAGATCTAGATTATATAGTACAATTGTTCCAAATTCTAGTTCTACTTTCCCCAATCCCTAAACCTCCTGTTTGCAATTCCTGTTTGTTTCAGAGGCCTGGAAGTCCCTGACAGATAAAGTGCAAGAAGCTCGGTCCAATGCTAGACTCAAGGCACTTTCTTTCGATGGTAAGTGTGTATTGGAGTGTATATTTGTTTTGAATATTTGTGTATTTGTGTAAATTTTTTTGCGTCGTCTTTTTCTTTTAGGAGTAAATGGGTTGAAGATGCTGGGTGTGGTTCATGATGCTGTAGTTTTTCTGCTGGAGCAGCTGTATGGAGCCAGGCATTGCCGGAACTATAGGTTTCGCTTCCACAAGCCTGAGGAGACAGACTATCTTCCTGTAAACCCTCATGGATCTGCCCGTGCTGAAGTGTACCACAGGTACTTGCCATGGCCAGGGGGTCTAAGGGTTGATTGGGAAAAGTTAATAATTGAAATTATTCTGTATGTTAATTACTCTTCATCTGTTTGAAATGTTTTATTTAGGAAATCAGTTTTGGATATGTTTAATTTCCTGGCATCCAAACACCGTCAGCCTCCAGTATACAACCCTCAGGAGGAAGATGAGGAGGAGATGCAACAGAAGTCTGCTCGGTGAGTCAACTTACTGTTACGAGTTTTGTAACCTTAACCTTAGAAACCCCTTTAAAGCATCATAATTCCTGGTTTGCCTTTTTCAATATATATACAGACGGGCCACCAGCACAGACTTGCCACTGCCTGAGAAGTTCAGGCAGTTGAAGAAAGCATCCAGGGACGCTGTGGGTGTCTATAGGTATTTACACTTTCTTTTTAAAATGAAAAAGAAAGGTTGGATAGAGGACAGAAAACAAATATGCTGCTTCATTGCATTCAAACTTATGTTTATTCACAGATCAGCCATACATGGCAGAGGTTTGTTCTGCAGGAAGAACATTGAGCCCGGAGAAATGGTGATCGAGTATTCTGGCAATGTAATTCGTTCTGTCCTCACTGACAAGCGGGAGAAGTACTATGATGACAAGGTAGAATTCTTGATGGTTCATGAATGCAGTTTGAAATCATTATCAGTGTTACTTAACGATTTAATATTTATTTTCTTTAATACTCAGGGCATTGGCTGCTACATGTTTCGAATCGATGACTACGAGGTGGTGGATGCTACCATTCACGGCAACTCAGCCCGTTTCATTAACCACTCATGCGAGCCCAACTGCTACTCTCGTGTGGTCAATGTTGACGGTCAGAAGCACATTGTCATTTTTGCCACACGCAAGATCTATAAAGGCGAGGAGCTCACGTATGATTACAAGTTTCCCATCGAAGAACCAGGCAATAAGCTGCCTTGCAACTGCGGGGCAAAGAAGTGTCGCAAGTTCCTCAATTGAAAGCAAATTCACAATGTAAAAGTATCTGTGAAGCGCTATCAAGAGTGTACACTTGCCAGGGAAGAGACATTTTTAAATGTTTTGTTTTTTACCGAAGCAGGCTCAGGTTATCAGAAGGTTAATGGTATTGTGCCTCTTAAGTTGTTTGGTTTTTAGAAAAAGACATTCGAGCGGAGTCACAATGGAGAAGATTGCCCTTATGTCCCTTTTAGTAATGTGCAATTTAAGAGATTAGTGCCCCTTCATTCTTAACGTTTTGTATGTGCTCTTTTATTTGACCATTTTGTTTTTATAAGAAGGATATTGTGAATAGTTTTAAATTTGTAATAAGTCGAGTCTGGCCTGCCCTTACTTACTGAGTGTGACAAATTACTGAAAAATTGCCACATCGTTCCATTCTACACCAAAGTGCAATTTCGGAAGGGAAAGATTTAATGTTTTTAGATTGACGATACATAATCCTTTTTTTAGCCTGAGCTGTTTAGACATCTTTCCCTTTTTGAATGTACATTAAAGCCTTCAGAGCATCCATGGTCATCCTTGCCAAGCTGGGCCTGATTCTCTGTAGGGAAGACACTGTAAATATTGTCTCGTAGGAAAGGTGATTAGGGGAAACACTAGGGGGAGCAGTGGTCCCAGGAATAGTTTGTCTGTAAATGTTCTTTTTGTCAGTGGTAGAAAGAGATGTGTTTCGAAGAGTAAACCAGCATAGGGCTTGTGAGATGTAGAAGCTGGCTGGGTTGAGATCCTGGTGGACTGACAACCAATGGACCAGAGCAATTTCTGAGTTTTTGGGGGGAATAAAAATGCTTTTATTTCCTATCCGTTTTTTATAGTAATTTAGAGAGAAAGTAGCTTAATTGCGTTGTATTGCAAAAAAAAAGTATAATTTGCATGTTTTATGAAATGTTGTTTAATTGATTTGATTTTAGTCCAAATATTGTCAGTAGTTTATTTATTGTGTCTCAACAAAAGGGAGTTGTTTTTCTCTCCCAAGGCCCATAGTTGTGTATGAATTCTAATGTTGTTGACTATTTTTGTTCTCTCCAATGTTACCGACGGAAATATAATTGGAATATGTAAATAATATGTATATTTTTCTATACAAATGACTAAAAAGCACTCATTGGTGAATAGCACTTAACGATGGTATTTATATTTTTAATAAAACATTGTATTTATTTTGTCAACATTTTTGTAGAAAATGATAGATTTACAACACTAATGCTTTGTCCAGACATTTTCTAGTGCTCGCTGTCTCCTTTTTTAGTTGATTTTTAATTTTTGTAGCTCGAATGGTTCGTTTCTATTCCAAAGACTGAAGCGGTTCCCACAGAGTGCGGTCCACCAGAGGCTCTCGTTGCCAACCCAGATCAAGCATGGACATGTCAAATATCATTTCAAACCGGAGTTCGGTTGTTCGAGGTGTGAGATCGGTCTCTCCTTTCTTAGTGCCAGCCTTAAAATCACATGCAAGAACAGCCCACCTTCCCCTAAAAGGCCCCCTATTTTATTTGGATGCATTCTAGCAACTGACGAGTCCCAAAGTTTATTCCATATATTTTGTTATATCAAAATATTTTCTTAGAGATTGATGTACTGCAAGGAATCGCCACATAGGCTAAAACTACTTCTAAAGCACTATATGTATGGAGGAGGAGAGGGCTCTGGTTTCCTCACGGTCTTGTGCACTGAAGATCAGTCTTCTTCCCAGTCTTCTTCAACACATGTTGCCTTGGCACTGCATGGATTGTTCCAGCCAGCCCGTTCAGTCAATGCACATTATTTGCTTGTATCATCTCTCAAATGTCGACCCCCTTTTTTTGTTGAGCCCTGTTTGAATAAGACTGAGGTAGACGTGGCTTTATTACGGATGTTCTGTGGATTGTTCTTCCATTTTTCAGATCAAAAGTTTGGTGCCTTCTATGTAACTGTTGTCGTGCGTTTCTGTTAATTGGACCGTCAGCTGAGGAGCTCCAGATGTGTAGAGCTGTTTAACTTGGGCACAAACGAACAGATTCTTCTTCAAATTGGTTTTATTTTTCTAAAGAAAGCTGTAGCATGAGTATGTGGGTATTGCAGAATGGCTTGGGATCTGTACATACCTCTAGACGAAGCTGCTTTGTGCAAGCGTGGCTTTCTTGAGCGAGCCACTTTTAAGGCCAGTTCTTTTTGCTCATTGCCTCGTAACTCTAATACAATTGTGTTTTGTTTTCCTCGGCCACTGCAGACCCCCCTGTATTTAGGCTGCAATAATTTTGACCTTTTCCCAGCATTTGACTTTTGACTATGGCACTGAAGGTCAGAGTTCTGTACGTTGCCTCACGTTGAACATTCGTTGGCTGCTGCCTCATATTTGTATACCCGTTTGTATTGATGCGGTATTGATCGCCATCTTTTTCAGGGATACTTGGGGGTCTCGCCCAACTTTCCTCTGGCCCTGTGGGACAGGGACGTGCTGAACTCTGCAGCTAGGCCGTCGTTGAATGTATTCTAGAATAGCTTTTTTGTTGTTGTTGTTTTGATTGTTTCATGAGTTTATTTTCCAACATGAAAGGCTGGGAAGATGCAGGACAGCTTTTTATTTCGTACGCTAGGAGGATTCTACAGCAATGGCAATCTTTGCAGGGTTCTACAGAAACTATTGCTCAGTCTAACGAAATAAGATTTTTATTTTATTAATATATTTTTTTTGTAATGCAGTTACTAATCCTAAGGGCTTTGTAATAGACTCCTGTACAGACATCAATACAACTTCAGATGCTCCATAAACTGGTGTAACAGTGCTCAGTCAGTGTTTCAGAACAGACACGCTCTGTCGTTTTCCTGGACTTTACTCTTCCACACCACAACTTCTTCTGTAATTATCAACAGTCTATATGTATACAAAATATACATGAATATCTATATATATATATGAACTAAACGTGTATGAATAGTAACTTGTACTTCAATATCTACACAATATACGGAATGGACAGACAAACTTAGTTACAGTAGCAAACAGCAGCTTCATAATGGTTAATAATTGCAATGTTCAGTGTATAATCTATAATGGTTTTGTGTTACAGATAAACTTTAGAGTAACTAACTTGTGCATCATTTTAATATCAAGATCAAGTACCAGTTTTCCTGTGCCTGTGTATGTTCCTTCAACGGAGCGTCGCAGTTTGTTTCGTTTTTTTCTTCTCTTCTTGGTTTTACTTTTTGGTTTGTTTTTATTCGGAAAGGAGCGCTATTTATATTATGAAACAAGTTCATGTAAAATGTGGTTGTAAACTTTTTGAGCATTGATATTTTTTTTTTTTTGCTTTCGATGGTGTAGTCAGCTTTATTTTACTCTGTACATTTTTAACAGTTTGTGGACATCAGGAAAAAAATGTCCTTGCCTAAACGCAGCCTTTGTCACCTATACCTCTCTCTCCTGTTGGAACTTAAGTTGTACTTTTTTCTTATGTGATGTTCTGTAATGAGTAATGGTGACCATTCTATTTATTTATTTCTGCAAACATCTCTAGATGTACACTGAGGTAAATCTTCTAAAGCAGGTGATGGCGCTCACTGTTTTTCGGAGTTTTTACATGGTTCACTTTGTACAGAATTGAGTTGCGGACCATCGGAGGTACTTGAGGGAGGTTTTGAGAGGGAGAGATTTTAAATTTGTTCCTCTTGGAGGAAGCAAGTTTTCCTTTGTCTTACCGACACTTCCTTTCCCCTGTAGCTTCGTGAGATCATGTCGATGTTGATACTGACAGTTTTAGTTTTGTTTTGTTTTGTTTTTTCTCCAAGTTGCCCCATCAGTGTTCTACCATTTTACACAAAAATGAAGGAAAATTTGTTAATCTAAAATATTCAACCACAAACTACTTAAAGATGAATGTATAATGAGGAAAAAAATGTACATAACTGTAAAAAGGAAATTTCTAATCATGTTTATTTTCTATGCACTTTTTTATTTAAGTGATAGTTTAAATAATAAACATGTCTTGTTTACTCAAACTGGGTGTCATGTTGCTTGATCTTTTCAAGATTATTATTAGAGTAGTAATTTGCTTGCACTATATTTTACCTATATTTTACATTGGACATCAACCAGGAACCACTACCATCACATAAAATCCAAAACGGTTTTTGCAACACATTTGCCAACAACAGCCCACCACTGGTAGTACAACTCTCTGGGCTGGGAAACACCCACACACTCTTCAATTCACACACTATGGCCAGTTTAGTCCAATTTGAATATATTGCATGTTTTTAGTTTTGGGCGGAAACCCATGTGGACACAGGGAGATGCATACAGCAGACAATCTACATTTGTTGACCGACAATTTAAGCTGCCTATCATAATTTTTGGCCCAAATATTTTGATTGGACAAACTATTTTTTTGGTCCTACAACTTACCCAGAATATAAAAATACATTTTAACGCATTCAGATTATTTACTTAAATCTTTACTATTGGAATGTGAAGAGACTTTCAATCAGCACAACAAAAATACTTATGGACAAAGTCACCTATTGCAGCTTTAAATAATCTTTACATCTATGCAAACCTTTTGTCCAGTAGATAAATATCCAGTTCAATAAATATTCTTTATGGAACCGCAGGAAAAATAAAAGACTTTTTTAGTTGTCGACTCGAGTGGTATCCAACATCAGTGATGTATATTGGGGATTAGGATAGTCAAATACTGAGAATGATAGTATACAGCAGATATTATTTTATTAGTTAATAAACTAGATATTATTGTAATGTAATGTGTATTTATATAGTGCATTTACTGTGTATGGACATACACCCAAAGCGCTTCTCTCCGCACCACCACCAGTGTGCAGTATCCACTTGGATGATGCGACAGCAGTCACAGGAAAACAGTGCCAGTGCGCTCACCACACACCAGCTATTGGTGGAGTGGAGAGACGGTGATAAAGGTAATTCAGTGGATGGGGTGATTGGGAGGCCATGATGGACAAGGGCAGATGGAAGGATTTTGGCAAGACACCAGGACTAAACCCCTACTCTTTACGAGAAGTGCCATGGGATTTTTAATGACCACAGTGAGTCAGGAGCTCTGTTACATGTCTCATCTGAAAGACAGCACCCACTGACAGTATAGTGTCCTCTTCACTATACAAGGGCATCAGGACTTGCACGGACCACAGGTTATGCGGCCCCTGCTGGCCTCACTAGTACAACTTCCAACAGCAATCTAGTTTTCCCATGTGGTCTTCCATCCAGATACTGACCAGGTTCAGCCCTGCTTAGTTTCAGTGAGTAACCCGGTCTTGAGCCGTAGGGTGAAATAGCTGTGGCCAATATTATTATTATAAAAGGAATGAAAAATTCAATACCAGGAATAATGTGCTTTTTAAAGTACCGCATGTCTATTAAAAAATCCCATTGTTAGGCAATCTGATTTATAATCATTTTAGTCTGCTCTAAACTGAATAAAAGGCTAATTGTTTTGTCAGTATGACATGTAATACTATCTATTCAAAATGGCTGTTAAAAGGAGCAGTTACACACATCTGATATTGGCTTTAAATACCTAGCAAAATTCACTTTTAAATGATATTTCAACACTACCAACAAGCCTTTTTTGTTTTTAAAAGATGTCTAATAGACGTCTAAACATAGTCATCTTGGCTAAAACAAGGCTAAATTTGGGACTGTCTCTGAAAATCTAATAGACGTCTAAGAATAGGCCAAAACTAGACTAGTCATCAAATGAATGACTACACACATAGAGTCTGTCTATTTGATAACTAGTCTAGTTTTGGGCTAATGTTAGACATCTATTAGATTTTTAATAACAGCCCAAGTTTAGCCTTGTTTTAGTCAAGCTGTCTCCATTTAGATGTTTATTAGACACAAAATAGTTTGCTGGGTAATGTGTGTAAACAGTATGTACATGTGAACAATAAATGTAATTTTTTTTTTAATTAAATGCTCTGCTTATTTTTAAGGCTTAGAGAAACTACGGTGTAAAGCATTAATGATTTAACACTAAATGTGTCTTTTTATTGAAACCATTCACACCAAGAGATCAAGAACAAGATGTCCAGTCCCATCCAGCTGCTCATACTGTGGAGTACCTGGGCCTATGAAACTTTACAGACAAGAAGGAGCCACTAACAGTCTCCCTGAAGTAGTTTATGAGCCATTAGGCCTATAATGAGAATTACAAGGCAGGATAAAGGTTCAGGACGGGCCTGTATACCCCTAATGGGGAAGAGCTGCCCTCTGAATACAGCTTCCAAAGTAACTAAAACCATGTGTCTGGACTGCCACCCACATCAGCACAACTTTCATTCAAGTCTGCAGATTTTCACTGCTCATTTAAATTGAGAAATAACCCCATCATTTTACAACCCCACTGAATATTTATTTTCTCTTGATGTGGCAACAATGAATCCAGAAGAAATGTTTACATGAAGAGACCATGTCACATGATCATTAACATGGTTTCAAAAATATGCTTTGTGTTTTTAAAGAAAGAATAGTTCAATCTCAGAGTTGACCACAGAGCTGTAATCCTTCAATGGTTTATTTCTTCCAAATTCACCACAATAAACTGGCCTTGTTCCTTTATAAACCCCATGCTAATTAAACACACAAGGGTCTCGCCAGACTGTTCACTGGCGCCCAAGACCCCATCTCTTGGGCTCTCCTGTATCAGATAATGTTTACGCTTAAAAAGTTGGACAAGCTACAAGCATTCAGTCTCCGTCCCTTGGATGATCCCTCTTTCTCCCTCCCCATCTCCCAGCCTCCCTATTTCTAATTGGCTTCCAACAGCTTCCCGTTTCCTCTGAAGACTAGGAGTGCTCATTTTTTTCCCAGATGCCTTAGACGGCAAAGAAAAGAGGAGTTTGCACTGCTCGTTTCTCTTTCGCCTGCTCAAGACTGTCAATCCAGTGGAGCTTCAAGTAACGTAAATGGTGAGTTTTGATATTTTGTTGCATCATTTTAAAGGTTTACTTAGAGCATTATGAAAACTATTTGCTGTTTAAAGCAATTTGTTAAATTGTATATGCTGTTTATGTGCATATAAGTATATTAATTCACTTTCATAGTCTCAAAGTCCTAAAATGAAAAGATTTTCCAGTCTATTTTGTAATATTTGTTTTTCTTGAGATGGTGACAAGTTTGGTCATATTCTTCAAAGTAATGGGAAATGTACCAAAGTACACATTTTAGGACAAACTGAGAATTGTTTTATTTTTTTATATATTTTATTTAGAGGGGTAGTTCACCCAAAAATTTAAATGTACTCATTAGGGCTGGATAATTAATTGAAAAGTAATCGAAATCGACATTCAAAACCTATAATCAATCTAATTTTTCCAGGACAATTTTTTCAATCACTTTCCATACGTGTTTTGTGACCACGCTCTGTTAAAGCTTGAGGCTTATTTATACTTCTGCGGCCCATTTGCAGCCACTCTGGTCAAGTAGGACGATGTACTCATTCTTGAGCCTTTCTTTGCACTACACTGACAATAATTGGAAGCTGCGCCAGAGATGCCTTTAGGCGCCATATAAAACTTGTCTGAACTGACAGCAAAAAATATAAATAAGTAAAATAATTGTTTATTAATTGTAATCAAGTTAAAATGCAATTAATCAAGATTTTAATTCTAATTCTAAATCGTCCAGCCTTAGTACTCTATGTTTACTCTCAATTAGTCCCAAAACTTTGAGTTTTTTCTGTTAAACACTAAAGAAGACATTTTGAAGGTGAAAACCTCTCACGGTCAACTTCTACAGTAATACTATGTAAGTCAATGGTTACTAGTTTCCAGCTTTACTCAAAATATTTTCAACAGAAGAAAGTCAAACAGGATTTGAACAATAAAAAGTGAGTGAATAGCTTTCTATCCATCCAAAAATGCTAATTAAATTTATGCGCAAAACTGGAATATTGCATTAAAGACGTGCAAATAAAGCAGCGTTTCCATCCAATGAGGCAAAGAGAACAAAATCGCCACTTTCTGATTAACTGGCACCAAATATCAACAATAAAAATGGAATTTGCTGCGGTAGGAGAAGCTGCGTCAATCAATTCTTTATTTAATAAATGACTTTCACCACAGAAGATGATTCCAACATGCAATAAGCATTTGGTGGCATTTGAAACTATGAGACGCAGAGCGCAGACACTCTTGACAAATGTGGATATATAATATAATATGTGGATTATAATAATATAATAACAGTAATACTGAAATGGTCAAGGCGTTTTAGAATGACAAAAACAGCGTTTCAGATGTTTTACAGTGTGCTCAGCCGTTCACACAGTTTTATCATCACATGATCTCTTATAACAAAATCAGATTACCTTTTTTAATGCGCATACGAGAATTTGTTCGGTAAAAGTGTTTCCATAGTAATTTATGCGCATCTTTTCTTACAGAATAAAAAGTTTATCCTACTCAATCATGTGCATATGCTTTTTATGCACATTTTGCAATATTTTTGCGCATCTTGATTATTTTTATACTAATCTCCAAAATGCACATAAGAATAGGTGAATGGAAATGTAGCTATTGATATATTCAGTTTTGGGTAAACCATTCCTTTAAGCAGAGAAATATTTCAAAAACATTTACCAAATGACGATATTGACTAAATGTAAACATTAGTCTTTCTCATAGTGCACTCACTTAATTTCCTTCAACTTATTCGACTTAAATAATCAAGAATGTGTTACGCGAAAGCTCACTCTGGAAATCAGACTGTCCGGTTGACAGTGGAATGACAGTATATGTTCTGGCAGTCACTCTTCTTTGGCCTAACATGGATTAAAGTGCTCAGAGCATTGAAAACCATAACACATAAACACGATCCTGAGAGATCCAGATGTCTGAGGACAGATGTGTCTCCTAAATTAAAGATGCCACGGCTTTAACAGAATCTGCAGAATTGTCGAAGAATGCTTTGGTGGTCTGGTTGTATTTCTCAGAGTGAATCATCAGCAAGTTTTTTCAACTTTTATAAGAAACAGCTGTTTGACAGACAACAGACTTGAATAGAAACCTGCAGATTTACGGCAACACATAAAATGTTGGAAATGCTTCGTTCCAGACGGGATTACGAGAGCTGACAAGGCCATGAATACTTCCTGCTGTAGAGATGTGTGTGTGTGTTTGCAGTCTGAGTATATTGACTGGCTTCAGCACCTCATCAATGAGAGATGGTAGATAGTAAACTTTACTATTGTGGTCTGTCCGCACATTCTGCATTTTCATTATTCACCATCTAGCTATAAGCATCGTTTATGAGCTGCTCTTTACTGTGAATGATGACAAGCAATTTCAAATTGGCTGACAAAAGTGTAATTGTTAAATAATTGTATGAATTTCGAACATTTAAATTACTTGAACGATGCTCTTCAGTTATTTTCAAATCTTGAAAGTGTCTTGCAACATATGGTTTCTTCTTAAAGGGCACCTAGTTTACCCCTTTTTTAAAGATTTCATATCATCATTATGGTTCTTCTGGGTGTGCCAGTTTAGCAAACATGCAAATTTTCACATGAAAATTAGTTTCGACTTCCCGCCCAACTTAACAAGGGGGCGGAGCCAAGCGCTCCGCCACTTTGTGTATGGCAACAAACAGGCAGACAGAGAGAAGCTGCATGAGTGAGAGGACCAGCATTCAGCTGTACATTACGACTCTGACACAGACCAAACAGAGACTACTGATGAGCAATCAATGTTCCTAATGTGCTAGAATGTGTCAGAGTTGCAGTTACAAAATCATTTGTTTCTTTGTATAGTTTTACAGTCGCTATGTAATGATGCATGCGTCATCCGTATAGGGATGTAATAATTAACCAGTTTCACTATTAACTGCACTTTAATTCATCACGGTTAATTATTCATAAACACTGGGTTTCTGCACGGCACAAAACTGCGGCAACTAAACAAATTTATGCCAGCTGTGTGCTAGTTTAAAGTTCTGAGCTTGTACACCGAGACTAATAACCACGCACATTGGATTAACTTTGAGGCTATAACTGAGGCAAGTTCGTTATTTTCATTGGAGGGACGTGCATGCAGGGCAACGCGGTCGCACTTTCCAGCGGCACCTAGTTGAGATGATAGAGAGCTTCTGTGACCGCAGGAAATGCAAACTCAATATGTTGCATGCACTGCGTGCTCCGCTCAAATAACCGCTAATTGTTAAATCTTTGTTGCCTATTCACAGGAAGACAATGAAGGCTCTTGTGTTGAGCCCAATGAGCCTTACATCCAAAAATAAAGCAAGGGTGTTTCTTCGATGACATCGATTTGACTCAAACGCTGAAAATGGCAGACATGAAACAACAAACTGAGGATCTGGAATTGTGCGCCTGTCAATCAATATTGGTGGGCGAGGGGACCGCTTTTCTATGTCAAGTTGCAGTGTGTCTCAAAACCGCTCCAATTGGTCCACCGTTTTTACGTTGTTAAATTGAAAAAAAAAAAGGACTGGGTGTGTTTATATCACCCCAATATGATGGTCTATACACTATATCTACACACGTCTGTCCAAACAGCTTGAAAAGTAGATTTTTCACCATAGGTGACCTTTAAAGCTTTAGAAATTATATGTAATGTCAAATTTCCTTCAGCTTACTCACGCTATTGACCGAGAGGTGAGATCATGGATCTCTGCTGCTTTTCACATTAAGTGCAGAAATTGTACCATCAGCCTATTTTGAGACTGAAGTCATCTTGAAACAAGACAAGGTAATGAAAGTTCCGTTCTTTTCTCCACAGACTGAGCGATGACATCTCTGCAGACATGGCCTCTCTCATTGCTGCTTGTTTTTGCAGTACATTGTTCGAATTCACTTGAAGATAACAAGATTCCCAGTTTGTGCACAGGAAGCCCAGGTATCCCAGGATCCCCTGGGTTGCACGGGAGCCCCGGTCAGCCTGGCAGGGATGGACGAGATGGCCGTGATGCTCAACCAGGAGAGAAAGGAGAAAGAGGGGAGAGCGGAGAACTAGGTACAAAAATACCCACTGTCATGATGCGTTTCTCACCTTCTTCTCTACAGAGTGCTGCAGTGGTGATGCCTTTTTATAGGACAGCCTGTAAGTCAGCATTGTCTTGGTGCCCTTGGCAAATACTCGATAGAAGTTTTACATTGACTTTTGGAAAATTGGCATAAAGGTTTAAACAAGTAATAGTCAGCAGAAGTAAAAAGCTAAACACTGGTTTTAAACTAAAGTATGCACACTACCAAGCTTTTAATAAAAAAAAAAAAAAAAAAAAAAAAAAAAAATATATATATATATATATATATATATATATATATATATATATATATATATATATCTTAAAAAAATATTCAAGTAAACTTGGTTAAAAGAGCATCAGTTAAAAATGGAATAGTGCAGAGATGCCCAAACTAAGGCCCACGGGCCAAAGTTGGCCCATGGTAACCTTTGATTTGGCTTGCCACCCCATCTGAGAAGAGAGGGGAATAATGGGGATGGTTTAGGTCTTGTCATTTCAAATTTAATGTAACCTTTTTATTGTTTGTTTTATTGTTAAGCTTAAAAAAGCTATCTGAAATTAATGTTTCAATTTAAATGCTGTAATTTAGTTTAAAATGTACATACTGTTACCCGACGAATAGAGGACAATGCAGAGACTTTGGTGAGCAAATCAAGGCAAAGGCAGATTCTGCTTGACTAGTCCACTGCGTTATAAATGTGATTGTTTGTTTTTTATTGCAATAGGTTAAAATAAAGAAGTTGTACTGCATTAGTTAACACGATTCAAAGCAATGTTTTAACTTATTTTCAAATATTACGAAATAAATTAGGAAATTAACCATGGCAACTTTAATGTAAAATAGTTTGGTATATTTAACCTTGGCCCATGTCTCTAAATGATATGTGGTTTTTGGTCCTTCATACAAAAAAGTTTGGGCACCCCTGGAAAAATGAGTACAAAAGTTTTCATTCCCCTTATTTCCTTGACAACCTCCCATTTAGTCATGCGTTTGTAGCAGCCTTTTTAAACACAACTAAAATGTAAAGGTCTTGATATACTCTCAGATGAGTTTTTTTTTCAATAGCAGTTTACTGTTGCGTTCTGATGGCTACACTACTGAAACTCATGTTTATATATATATAGTTAGGTCCATATATATTTGGACATCGACACAATACAATTTTAGTTCTATACACCAACACAATGGATTTCAAATGAAACGAACATTATGTGATTTAATTGTAGTCCGTCAGCTTTAATTTCAGGGTATTTACATCCAAATTAGGTGAACACTGTAGGGATTACAACAATTTGCATATGTGCCTCTCACTTGTTAAGGGTCCAAAAGTGATTGGACAGAATAATGATCATAAATCAAACTTTCACTTTTTAATACTTGGTTGCAAATCATACACACACACATATACAGGGGCAGATTTAACCAATAAACGAGGTATGCAGCCGGGAAATCTGGGGGCCCCTAATAAATATCTGGAAGTTTAAATTTTACCTATAAACTATATATGACAGTTTTCTACCATTTTTGTATGGTGAGAGTTAAACAGTACAATACAATTCAATGTAATTAAAAATGTAGTATCCAATCAAATATAAAATTATTATAATAATATAATGTTATGTAATAATAATAATGATAATACAACATAAAATTTTCATCACGGAGCAGTCCAGCAGTCAAATTTATATAAAAAAACTATATTAATTATTTTTATTTGTAAATTAATTTTAAGAAAACTATTATTTAAAATGTAGAGATTTCCTTTATTTTAAAAGTCAATAAAAGATTAAGTGATATAAAAAATCAGCAATATAAAAAAAAATTTCATTTCATAATATACAAATAGCATGAGAGTGATTTATCTTCACTGAATAATAATGTTTTTCTCCATGACTTGTTGGACATTTTCAATTAATGAGGTGTCACACAAAATGACATAAAAACTTAATATTATAGTGGTTCCAAAAAATTTAATCAGTAAAAATGTCAGGGGGATTCTTCAGTCACATGATCTTGAACGGGGTCCTTTAACTGATTTAAGTTTTCTTAGGAACTGCCCATTTATAATTAGCACAGTGTCACACTAGAGGACATGGCTTTCAGTGACAACATGTATTTAGTTCCTATGTTTTTAGAGATATATGGCTTAAAAATAGTTGAAACGGCACTTGCTTAAATAGGCTCTTGTAAAATTACACCTGATGTATTTATCAATGACTTTATAATTTTCTCTTTCATATATTAGAGCTGTAGTTAACTGAACTTTGCTTGAGAAAGTCACACCATTAGACAGTTTTGAGACTTGGTTCTACACAACAGTTTTAATACCAAGAGGTCTATGGTAGAAATGTTAACCAATTACTGCATTTTAAATGATAATGCTAATAAAACAATTTTTAGTCATTCGTGTCAAGTGCAACAGTACTGAGCTCACGTTCAACACTGACATTATTCTCACGCATTAAACCACAAACGGTGCAGCTGGAAATCCTACAATGCTGACTTTTTCTAGTTACCGGTCTACAAAAAGACATCATCCCTGCAGCACTCAATTGAATGTCAATCATAAAATATGAAATTCCCATGATGCTTATGGCAGGTCAACCGGGCGTGAGGGGCCTCACAGGAGACCGAGGGGATCCAGGAGAAAAAGGTGAGCGAGGAGCCCCAGGCGAGTGTGCAGTGGCCCCTAAATCAGCCTTTAGCGCCAAACTGTCAGAGGCTCGCACGACTCCATTGACTGTAGGTGACTCGGTGCGCTTCGACAAGGTCATTTTGAACGAGCAGGGTGACTACAATCCAGAAACCGGGCGTTTCACCTGCAGAGTGCCAGGTGTTTATTACTTTGCCGTTCACGCCACCGTCTACCGCTCCAGCTTGCAGTTTGACCTCATGAAGAACGGGCACACCGTGGCTTCCTACTTTCAGATTTTTGGGAACTGGTCCAAACCAGCGTCACTGTCTGGAGGAACACTAGTGCACTTGATTCCTGGTGATCAGGTTTGGGTGCAGATGGCTCTGGGCGAGTACATCGGTTTTTACTCCAGCTCAAAGACAGACAGCACGTTCACTGGTTTCCTAGTGTACTCAGACTGGAAAAACTCTGCTGTTTTTGCCTAGATTAAAATCACACTGCAGGGTTCAGCAATTTGAAAGTAATAGGACAAAGGCCTTTGATTGGCCTTCAGTAATATGGTTAATATGAACGGCACAGATGACCCCATTCTAATCATATGTAGTGACACTGAATAAAAAGGCTAAAATGTTGCCATGTAAAGAATGAAAGCATTAAAGTTATTACTGAAAAATACTGCTTCACAAATATGGAATAAAAACTGAAATAGTGAAAAAGAAAACCTTCTGCTGTTTTTACAGAAAACATTTATTTTAGTGGCAGTCTATGTTTTGAGAAAAAGCATAATAAATACTTTCCATTACTTCTCTGGAATATGACTTCAATAAAAATGACACCAATAATTACCTAATTCATCACTAAATGACATAAGGAAAAGTCATTTCTACAGCTGGGCAAGCGGGAGCTGTGGTTTCAGGTTTCATGGAGTCTGTAGAGCACAAATATGGACGTTTTGAAGTAAGTGTCTCACTGTCAATGGGAATGAGGTCTGATGGACTTTTAAGCTTCTAAAAGGACATATAAGTATTACAAGGTTTTAAGTTAAATTGAAGGATGGATCATTCAAACTTCACTCAGTTACAATTTAAGTGAAGTTTATTTATAAAGTAATTTCGAGAGGATTACGTGCTTTTGATTGTCCACGGCTGGTCCCACTCATTAGCTAACACATGATTTACCAATCAGACGATTCCTAACTCACCATAAATAACCAGAGTAGGGGTGCTCAAAATAACTGATTAACCGTAAACTGAAAGGCTGTGTTTTTAACCATTAATTTTATCAGTTAAATGATTAAAAAATATAATTTTTTTTATATTTTTAAAGTTTGGCTGCATAAGCAGCCGATCACAGCGAACGCACTTTTTGCATTGAGGCGCATCTTATGAATGGTTTATTAACTTTACATACTTGCGCGCTGCTTATGCGTCCTCGCATTTTTGCTGTTGTTTGCTGTGTGTTCGCAGTTGAAATAAAAGTCAACCCTGAGAGGAAAAATCGCCCTTGCTAATACAACAAAAAAAGGCAGTGGGGTGCACCTTGCATTTTGGAACGTAAATAATATACAAAATACTTTACTAAACTTTACAAAAGGTCAACATATGAACCTCGCCATTAGCCCATTTCACACAGCGATATCGCTAATTATCTGGAAAATTTCCAGAATGACTTTACCGATAAATTCAAAAAAGCGCTGTTCATACAGGCAAGGGCATTACAGAATTTTTCCGGACAAGACTGTTCACACATCTATTCCAAAATACCGGTAAATTCAGACATCAATAACCTGAAATGATCTTTAAACGGCAGCGCTTGTGTTTGTAAATGGGGTCTGACGTTTGTGTTTTGTGTAGAAGGGGTCAAGCGATTTCACTTTTATTAAAAGCTTCATCATTTATGCAGCTGCTTTGTAAGACATCCAAAGGCAGAAACGCCAACCGCAGCTTAATGTTTACACACTTGACTAAATTACAAATTACGTGGATGAATAAGTATTGTGAACAACTTATATGAAAACATATGGAGGAATACTTTCACATGTCGAGATGTTCATAATATATGTGTGTGTGCTGGTGCTCACCGGCTGCTTCACGTGCACACGCATCAAGTAACTGAAGCAGAGCTTGAAGGAAAACAAACAGCGGTTTATCGTAATCCTTTTATCAATATTATTTTACACAGTTGGCATTAAGAAGAAAACTACAAACGTTATCTGAATAACATCAGTGTTTTTGGTTTGTAATCTACATTTGTGATTTAAGTGAAATAATATCAAGGGCAGGACTATTTATTTATTATTTTTATGTAGTTTATTCTTTGTATCTATTCTGTTGTAAACACTGCAGATGCGTGAAGATGCTCTGTTGTTATGTTCTGTTGGTAATATGTTTGCATGTTAAAATAAATCAGTATTTTAAAATGCAATATTTAATGTGTCACACACAAAATAGACGTGCCAAAATTAAATAATGACTCAATATTAATCTGACCAGTTAACCTTTAGTATTAGGTTAATAAGTGGCGGTTGTCAGTTGGCAAAATTAACCGAAATGATCGGCCCTGTGTTTAGCACTGTTGCCTTACAGCAAGAATGTCACTGGTTCAAGTCCCTAATTTGTCATTAGCCATAAATAAGCAGGGGAGTTTTCGAGATCTACCTGAGCTTAAACTTCCCTCTCGCCCTGCAAATAGGATTGAGCCCTGGCTCGAGGACCTTTTGAGCTCAGGGCTCTCTCTCCTGGGAAAGCATGCCAAACACGCTTTATAATCAATCATCAGCTTAATGTTGTTACTCTTGAAACTGATTATATTTCAGTACATTTCTGTACTTTTTATTCAGAATTTTATTTAAACTTTAATATTAGCTGGTACTCTTTCAAAATGATCAGTCTTCTCATATATCTTTTAGCTGTTTGTTTAATAGATTGGATGAATCCACAGGACATTAATACTAGCTCCAAATAAACTATAAAAAAACATTAATTATTGCAGACAGACAAGGTGAATAGACAAAAAAAAGGCACTGTTGTTTTAATTCTGTCAGATATTAAATCAAAACCTTCTTGTATTTTGTCTGGAATGTGTTTCTGGCTTCTGAATCACACCCTGATTACTTCTGGTAAATCATTATCTGGCCATGGAGCTTATGGAAAAACTGACTTAAGAAGTTTTCCTTTATATAATTCATTTCTATCAGCTGTTTAATGTCCACAACTGGGGATTATAGTTTAATTAAAATCTCAGTTTTTTGTATACTGATAAAGGCTAAAAACCCACCTGATTGAAATTTGGTATTTAAATATTAAAATATTACTGTTAAAATATTACGGATTTTTTTTTTTTTACTAATGTGACCGAGCCTTTAACAGCAACATCTGCAAAGACAACAAGCTGCAGTCACGTCATGTTGTATTTATCATACTTTTGAGTTTTTTAATTCTTGGCCAGAAAATTAAACCTAAAACATTTAATCCATCTTTTTAGGGTCGTCGAAGTGGTGCAAAATATCTATAAATCCAGCCAGCTTCAACATACTTCCTGGACATTTCAATCTAGTGGGTGTAAAGATCATCATTAGCTTATTCAGGAGTGGTTAAACACGATTAGAGCTCATGAGGGACAGTAAATTCAGGAAAGGTTTGGACAATAAATTTGAGGCCTAAGCATGAATGCTGGTCAGTGGTCACATTACAAGGATGTGAATGCTGTTTTTTGTTATAGTTAAATCTAATAGTCATGGTAATTACATTGTACTTACAACAATGTGATGTGAATGCAGGTAAAATGACAAATCTTAAAGAGATAGTTCACCATAAAATGAAAAATGCTCTCGCTTATGTGGATTAAACAAGTGAATGGTGAGTAAATGATGACAGAAATGTCATTTTTTGTGTGAACTATTGTTTTCACGTCTCTTGATGTCTAAATGTACCTTTTTCACCTTGGCTGCTTCTTTTATTCTTCTCTGTAGCTCTTTTTCCTGCGTTCTCTATGTGTTTTTGTTCTAAGAGTAGCAGTCTCCAGTTTTCCTCGGGCTTCTGGCACAGACTTTAGACGGAATGTTTTTGCAGTAACTCTGAGAAGACAGAGTGAGTGGTACATTTGTGTCCTCCCATAGTGCAGTTCATTTCCATGAGGTCACGGCCTGCGCCTTCACAGCTGTTCGCAGAGCAGCTTCAACCAGACCAAAACAAGCACAGAAGGGTATCTCTGTCCAAGACAAGACACTCCCAATTTTTTAAGCTGTTTCACAAGCATACAATGATAAACTTATGATAAACAAATCGCATTCGCATTCCATCCAGCTTTATAGAGCTTGAGTGCTGAAAAGCAGCAGATGACAACGAAAGTGTCCGATTTTAAGCTAAATATCTGGCGCAAGTGTGATTGCTCTTGTTTCAAGTTGGCAGACAGTTAAATTATAGGCATTACCAAGATAAACTTGTATTTGCATAAGTTAAATGTTTTGACCGTTCTCTGTAAATGTTTTCCTGTCATGCTGTTGCAGCGTCAGTACACACACACGCACACACATATTTCCCAAATGCTGTATATACTAGTGAAAGTTTCAACCCATTTTAAAACACTAACTAACTTTTTTTGCTTTGTCTTGATTGTACAATATATTTATTACTTTTTTCAGTTTGCATATCACAACAGATTACAAAATAATAACCATTTAGACACAGCAAACACTTTACACCCTAACCAAAAGCCAAAACAAGGGAAAAAGTCTATGTTTAGACCATGATACCTTCTCTCTCAGAGTGTGTTCTTGTTGTAACAGACTGCCAACATTTATATTGTACTTTAGGAAGTTATTACAGGTCTCCAGATATCTTTGTTTCTTTTTGACAGTATATTTGTGATCTTTTTCATACAATTGAAGTCAGAATTATTAGCACCCTTTGATTTTTTTTCCCTTTTTAATTATTTCCCAAATGTTGTTTAACAGAGCAAGGAAAATTTCTTGATTGATCACAGTATGCACTGTGTTTTTCTAGTTGTCTTTGCAAGATAGTATTCCACTTCAATTACAATTTAAGCTTTTAACTATGTTCACTTGGTAAGTTAATTAGGTAAGTCATTTTACAGCAGTGGTTTATTCTGTAGCTAATAGATTAATAAAAATAAAAAAATCTTAGAGGCTAATATAAACTAGCAGCTAAACAGAAATAAATAATACTTTCTCCAGAAGACAAAATTGAATTGCAAATACTGTGAAAAATCTCGTTTTGAAAATATTTGCAAAAGCACAACATTTACAGTAGGGCTAATAGCTTTGTCTAATAATACTGTGTGTGTAATTATTATTATTATTATTATTATTATTATTATTATTATTATTATTATTATTATATACAATATAGTTTTACTGAATGACATTTTACTGCAGCTAAGTCTTTGAAAGATTTATGATGCCATTATTTTCTGCTTGGAAAAAAAATGAGGACTTGAATAAAACTCACGTTATTTAGGCTAGCCTATACAAACTACGATATACAATGTGAACTACGGTATATGTAAACTATAATATATAATGTCCTTTACATTTCCAAAAACTTCAGTTTATACACGCGCATATTAAATTTCCATGTTTATTAAACGTCAGCAGGGGGCGTCCTTTCATTATTCTGGAGGTCTGATATGCTCTGCTTCTCTCTATTAAATATTTGATCAATGGTGTCGCTATTGGACAATATCATATAATTATAAT